ATCTGTATGCTCTGTAAAGCAAGGAAGTCTATAACAGAGAAAAGCTATTCATTAGCCTTCTCATTCATCTTGATTGCAGTTGCTTGGCTGGCAGGACCCCACACGAGCTGTAAATGCCATGTGACTCTATGTGACTAATCACTCTGGAGCTGCAACTGACTGGCTGATGGCACCACAAGAATGCACAGCCTCAGAACCCTTCATTAGCAGCTATGCTGAGCTGTGACAACAAAGGCAGCATACAGGTACAAATACAGTATGTCAACTTTGTGCTTATAGAGTACAAGCTGTTTAAAAATAATAATTGTCAGAATACATGACCAATTTTGAATGGCAATGGAGAATCATGCTTTTTGCAGCCAGATGGTGTAATTAAAATCTATCAGCAGGGGCTTATAGGGCCATGCTAACCAGCCAAACCTTGACCCTTTGCTGTAAATAGTAAAAAAAAACACAAGTTTTAGACAGTCAGAAAACCTATCCAAATAGAGAATGTACTCTGTCTTTGGAGGGTGTGTTTTCTTTGGATTGTGGTTGAAGTTAGCAAAATAATGAAAATTAAAAAAACAAAAAACAGCTGACATTGATTACAGCTTCTTGACTCTCAGAAGAAAAGGTACAAAAGCCGTTGCTGTGGCAGTACCCTTTCCAACGGTGCTAATATGTACCATTTAGGTACTAATATGTTCACTTTGGGTAATAATATGTATTTTAAGGTACTAATATGCACACTTTAGGGGTGAATAAGGTACAAAAGTGTACCTTTTGAAAAGGAACCATCACAGTGATAGCTTTTGTACCTTTTTTCTGAGTCTTTAATCTGATTGGATTTTGAAGTTAAAATTAATTAATTAAATTTAAATTGATTTATTAAATTGATTTATTTTGAGTGTGTCCTGTCGAATCTAGATTCCTAATTTAATTTGCAAAGTTTCTACATTTCTACATAAATTTCTACATAAGGTCCTAAAGGATGTAGTATTGCTTTGAAAACAGCAGGTGGAACTGTTGATTTATAAATGTAGACAATCAGAGTAAAACTTACCCACATAAGACAGTGACGAGTAAGACGAAGCCAGAGGCTGATATCTTCTGTTTCAGTGCTCTGTTCATTCATTAACTCTCATAACTGCATCTCATGTCTTTGCTGATGAATTAGTGAAGGGCAGCCTTTCTGATGTAAACCTCTGCAATATTAGTGTATGTGGGGGAAAATAATTTCACTACTATAATATTGCTGTGCATTTAGATGACACTGCTTTATTTCAGCAGAGAGACCTTTTGCTGTTATCATCTAAAAGCATCTGCTAGCCTAGACACCTCACCTTGTGATTAGGCCAGTATTAAAGGCTCAAGGTTGGGTCAAATGTAGGAGGGGGAAGAACTGCTAATAAAATATGCAACACTTACACAGTCACACACACAAAATTGCTTTCACTATCAAGCACCATATAATTTTTGTTAATTCAGATAATAGAGGCAAAGACATTATACCGAAGAAAATAACTGGCCCATTAGTAACACTTATTTCTTTCATGGGTGAGGTCTTTGACATCTATTGTTTTTATAATGAGCTAATTATATTTATATCCCCTAATCCTGAGGCCAAAAACACATACCTAAATGAAAATGTAAACTTAAACGCAAGGACACGAACGAAAGCGTGAGCTGCAATCCCACCACGCAGTCAAGGGGGCGATAGAGAGACTTTCACGTTAAACCGGATGTGTTTTGACCAAAATTTATGCAAGTACGCGAGCATTTTGCCAACACAAAACCAATGTGCAACCTGCCCTCCTGTGTTGGTCTTCCGGTAACAAACCTCAGGGGCGACATAGTTTAACTCACATGTCTCTCATTTTAAACCGGATGTGTTAGTTTTCGGTTAAAGTGCCCCTATTATGGGTAATGAAAGGTTCATTTTTGATTTTTGGGAGTCCCCAACAACAGGTTGACATGCATGCAAGGTCAA